CCAAACATCGAGCTTCTTTTTGAATCCAGCTTTGTGTAAATGGTTTAAAGCTGTTTTATGGTCGATTTTTAGCTCCTGGGCGATGTTACGACTGCTAACATGCCGGCCAACTTCGATTATTTCTCCGATTTTATCGACATTTTCGACCCCCGGCTTACCTGTGCGAGGTGCATCTTTAACATCAAAAATTCCTGAACGGAATCTACGAAACCAACATTGCACATAATTGGCTGTTAGAGTATCGGAACCATAAACACCATTGACAATTTTAGCCGCCTGGCTTGCATTTTCGCCTTTGTCAAAGAAAAACTGTAAAATGTACCGAATTTTCTCTTTGTTCACTTCCATTTTTAACACGCTGTAACTCACAACTGAATGCACCAAACAAAAAACAGCAAAAGAATTTTTTTTTACTGCGAAATGTCACCTTTCCAACGAGCATAAATCTGAAATTGTTTGATCAATACTTTACGAGAAATCTATCAGTGCAGTCATATACCGAAAAAATAATGGATTTCTTTTTCCCTAAACTAATATTAATTTGCTTGTGTTGCATTTTTCTGACACACTTCAAGCTGTTCATATTTCTGGAATAAACAAACGCAACAATGCAAGTGCATAATTTTTTAATATTGGTTTATTGCAGTACGTAGTAGAAAAATTCTACATTAGTTTATAGATATTGTAATTTATAATCTACGTTTTACCAATAAAACTTTGTCGTTGTCATAGCCTATTGATCGCTTTTTTGTTATCTTTTTTGTTTCTCCCAGTTCAAGTGCTGGAAGAAACAACCCAAATAAGTTGGTACGACCTGACGAAACGTTTGGTCGAATCATACCAACCAATTAGGCACCCTGCTACTTTGGTAGTTTGATTACTATTGTCCAAAACTGGCGTTGTGATCGCCAGCACTGTTTGTGTGTGTTTGACACAACATAAACAATCAGACAAACTTTCAAACGTTTCAAGACTTCGTCGTCCCAACTTGCCATTTTTGAATGCCATTTACAATAAGAGAAAAACTCGAAGTGAGAAATTTTAAAAACGATATCTGAAAAGAGAATCCTATATGTTTATTGATGGAACTTATATTAAACAGTGGTGGTAGCAGTTTTATTGCTGTTCACACCGTTAAAAGATCACAGTTTTTATTAGATATTTACAATCAGCATTTATTTATTTATTTAGTCAGCTACATAGAGAAAGTATCATTCGATATAAAACAACTTAGAACTAAATTACAAGAAAAAATATGATAACTGCAATAGTAATAAGGAATAAAATAACTGCAAAGTAATAAATAATTTTACAGATCTCAAAAAAATGTATGACTAAATATATGAATAACCAATGCAAATCTCGGCGTGGTACAGTAAAATTAAATAGAATAGATATAGTAGCAGAAGATTATTATTATACATCCCGCAAACGGGTTCTGAAGGTGGTAATTAGTACAGCGGTGTGAGAGGTAAATTGCTTCACAGTGTGTCGTAATGCACATTAAATGAGATGCTCTGGAGTAGAGACGAGGAAGATACTATACCTTAAATCAGTTTAACAATAAGGACAAACCCCAGCATCACGCATCTATTTTCCAG